GGGGACTGTTTAACATTGTATTTAAAATATCAGGCTGTAAAAGCTTTTATTTTTATCAAAGCTTAAAGCTTTGTACATCCCTTGTTCCTTTTATTCTCATTTCCCATATATAACTTTTATTGCAGGCAGGAATTTTTTTCCCATTAATTTGTGTACATTTGCAACTATACTGTTAATATAAATATGGATGGTTAAACATTGGAGACTGTTTAACATTGTATTTAAAATATCAGGCTGTAAAAGCTTTTATTTTTATCAAAGCTTAAAGCTTTGTACATCCCTTGTTCCTTTTATTCTCATTTCCCATATATAACTTTTATTGCAGGCAGGAATTTTTTTCCCATTAATTTGTGTACATTTGCAACTATACTGTTAATATAAATATGGATGGTTAAACATTGGATCTGTTAGTCAAGTGCCAATAAACTGTCATTTCTGTGGATTTTGTATTCTGGAGTGAATTTTTATTTTTGTGGTAGCATCCGGGGTCTGTTTGCTTTCTTTGCAATACCCAGAATTGAGGTGCTATCGTGTGCATATTGGAAGTAAATAAGTTAGTGGCTGAAGGTGTCTGTCCACATGACCATTATAATAGGAGTAGAGGTCAACAGAGGTAAAAAACACTTTTCAGGACAAGCAAAGTAAGTTTAAATACCACAACTCCAACCTGAAGAGGTATACCTTAAAGGTATAATCACTGTGCCTCACTGAGGTACTTAAGTGAAAAAGTTGGGCAGTGTGATGGCTCTCTACATTTTTCATCAGTAAAACATAAGGTATTCGATTACAATGATCACATAATTACTAAGAATTCCAAGAACTGTGCTATATGCAAGCATCTAAAATACTGTTGATCACATTTTCCTGACTGAAGAGCTAAATGTTCAGTATCTGAGAAATATTAGAAATCTAATTCTTCAGTCACGAAAATGTGATCTGTCCACCCACAGCAATGGGCTGTGGGAGGAGTGTAAAATAAATATCCTAAAGAACCTAGAAACAGTGATTTCTTTCCAGATAAAATCCTTTACAGGCAATGGATCTCCTGCAACATGAAAGGTGAAAAAATATATTTCTTCAGACTTGAATAAATGCCTTGGGTAGGGTCTATTTTGGTAATGTTTGAATAAGATTCCATTGGGTAATAGGAATTATGAGCATGCAGCAAGAATATAATTGTACATTTAATCTGTTATGCTATTGGATTGGATTTGGTTTGTTAATCCTCAGTAGAGGACCAGCAGAGACAAAGGCATGACTTGGTTTAGACTTTAACTGTCCTTTTGCAGTTGGATCCCTCTTGCTCATGCTTCTTGCCCTTGGCTCAGGTGCCCGAGGGGGAAGCTTGCTCTGACTGGCTAGTTTAAGAACATAAGAACGGCCGTACTGGGTCAGACCAAAGTTCCATCTAGCCCAGTATCCTGTCTACCGACAGTGGCCAGCACCAGGTGCCCCAGAGAGGGTGGACCGAAGACAATGATCAAGCGATTTGTCTCCTGCCATCCCTCTCCAGCCTCTGACAGACAGAGGCTAAGGACACCATTTTATCCCCTGCCTAATAGCCTTTTATGGACCTAACCTCCATGAAATTATCTAGCTTCTCTTTAAACTCTATTATAGTCCTAGCCTTCACAGCCTCCTCTGGCAAGGAGTTCCACAGGTTGACTACACGCTGTGTGAAGAAGAACTTTCTTTTATTAGTTTTAAACCTGCTCCCCATTAATTTCATTTGGTGTCCTCTAGTTCTTCTATTTAGGGAACTAATAAATAACTTTTCTTTATCGGCCCTCTCCACACCACTCATGATTTTATATACCTCTTTCATATCCCCCCCTCAGTCTCCTCTTTTCTAAACTGAAAAGTCCCAGTCGCTTTAACCTCTCCTCATATGGGACCCGTTCCAAACCCCTAATCATTTTAGTTGCCCTTTTCTGAACCCTTTCCAAGGCCAAAATATCTTTTTTTGAGGTGAGGAGACCACATCTGTAAACAGTATTCAAGATGTGGGCGTACCATAGTTTTATACAGGGGCAGTAAGATATTCTGGGTCCTATTTTCTATCCCTTTCCTAATAATTCCTAGCATCCTATTTGCCTTTTTGACTGCCGCTGCACACTGTGTGGAAGTTTTCAGAGAACTGTCCACGATAACTCCAAGATCTCTTTCCTGATTTGTCGTAGCCAAATTAGCCCCCATCATACTGTACGTATAGTTGGGGTTATTTTTCCCGATGTGCATTACTTTACACTTATCCACATTAAATTTCATTTGCCATTTTGTTGCCCAATCACTCAGTTTGGTGAGATCTTCTTGGAGTGTCCCTCACAGTCTGCTTCTGTCTTGGCTATCCTAAACAGTTTGGTATCATCTGCCAACTTGTTCAGTTATCAACTTGTTCAGTTATCAGACTTTGCTTTCAATCCTAGGCCCGCCCTTAAATCTCATTGCTGAATCTTCTCAAGGGGATTGTGGCCTATATAGCTAGCTAGGTTGGTACTCCCCTAACAGTGAAATTTCTAAGTGTTTCTTCACAACACCCAGTGACGGGTAGGCAAGTGTATTATCCCCACTGGAGACGTGAGGCACAGATGAATTTGGGTGACTTGCCTAGCCTCAAACATGTAGGCTGTGTCTACACTGGGCCACTTATTCCGGAAAAGCAGCCGCTTTTCCGGAATAACTTGCCAGCTGTCTACACTCGCCGCTTGCTTTTCCTGAAAAGCAATGACAGTCTACTGTAAAATTGTCAGTGTTTTTCCGGAAAAAATATGCTGCTCCCGTTCGGGCAAAAGTCCTTTTCCGGAAAAACTGTTCCGGAAAAAGGCCAGTGTAGACAGCACAGTAGTCTTTTCCGCAAAAAAGCCCCGATCACAAAAATGACGATCGGGGCTCTTTTGCGGAAAAGCGTGTCTACATTGGCCAAGGACGCTTTTCCGGGAAAAGTGCTTTTCCAGAAAAGCATCCTGCCAATGTAGACGCGCTTTTTCCGGAAATACTTATAACGGAAAACCGTTCTGTTTTAAGCATTTCCGGAAAAGGGTGCCAGTGTAGACGTAGACGTAGTGTGTGGTAGCACTGTGGAAAATATAGACAGTTTCTCAAACATGCACATAAATGATGCCTACTCCAATCTGAACATTCCAGAGGAAAATAATGTAAGGATGACTAAAGAAAAATACTTAAAACAATACATGTGAGAATAAGAGTTGAATTTCTGGATTTCCACTGGGCTTTAGTATAGAGGTCTTTCCCAACTTTGGGTTTAGTTAACTCCAGTTTACCAGTGCCTTTAATGAAAGTTGGAACATGCTTTCAGTGTATGAGTCCACGTGCCAAGCTATTTGTCTTCAATGTAAACTTTCTTTAACCAACCTGTCAGTGTAGTTTACCTCTTTAAAATGTAAATATATTTTAAGTGTCAGCCTACATTTTAAAAATAGTTTTGCAGTTAAAAGTGGGATCTTATTACAAGTGTCCTGTATTTCATTACCTAAAAATAATGCTAAAATAGCTGATGTCTGCTATTTTGAACAGAGGA